GTGGTGACAACAATCACACTGTATCCGCTGGAGACTAGCATTTTACATCCCAAGTGTGACCGTAGGCGTAATTCAACAAATCTGAACGGAAGAATATGCGTTTGGATGAGATATTCTTGCACACGCTGCAATCGAACCAGTCAAATGTGAGGAGCCAGGTTGCGATTAAAGCAAATAGGGTACGAATGAAACAGAAAACAAACAAAGTGAAATAATGGGATCGATGTGAAAATACGCAAAGGAGGTGGAACGTCGAGTGTCTACGTATTTATGAAGCGGATGGCGTTGGGTGAATGAACCGTGCAACTCACGAAGTGTGGAACCAAGGTGGATTGTCTGGGTTTTAGAAGAAGGATTTTCACAAGTCGATGAATACATATCCCGGCAAAATCCTTTCCCGCGTTATACGGCCAAAGGGAAATTCACAGGAATACCAGTTCTCATCCTAACTACCTAATCCTTACGGTCGTCGTACTACTCTGCCGTACATCCCACCGTCATCGATTTCTTCGACAGCTCAGGAGGTTAGCTATAAGCCGTTTTGCACGACTCACAGTGCCTCCCTCGCTAACCCGGAGCATTCCTCGGCAGCCTGAGTCCCTGGTCTGTTCTGCCTCTTCTTCCTCCAGTAAGCAGATTCGTGGATGTCTCGCAGGGNTCTAACCGTACGTACGAGCCCGTCCTCATCCGGGAGGCATTCTTTAACGACACCCAGAAGCATCCATGAGCAGCACTATGTTGTCTACGCGAAAGTTTCTTTCCCTAAGTATTCATTTCTGGCGTGTCTGTAGGGTAGGCAAATACTCTCGGACCCACCGTTTCCAGAAGATTCCAGCTAGATAGGTTTCTTGCTTCTAGCCCCTCAAATAATATTTTGTAATTGTTCGTGTTATTGCTAGTCCGGGAATCGGGCTCAATAATATCAAGTAATTTGGCGTGAACGCGAGACCGACACCTTCATTCTCAACTGGAATCAAGGGTCTATTGTTCAATATGCGCTCTACCTTCATTAGGGCTTTGCTCAAGGTTTCATCGTCGATGAACTATTGATTGCACACCACCGATAGGATCCTTCTCACCGACCTCATCATACGTTCTCAAACCCCGCCTCTATGGCTGGTGTACAGCGAGTTGAAGTGATAACGAAGATTTTGGGAGGCCAACCGCTTATGTAGTTCACCCTGGTTTATTAAGGACAGCCACCTTTGTAGCTCATTAGACGCACCCGTCAAGTTTGAATCGTTTTCGGAGTGGATGTTGTTGGGACTCCGCGCCTGCTATTGAGCCTCTGAAGCGACATGAGGAACGATTCAGTAGACATATCATGCACCATCTCCAAATGAACCGTGCGAGACTGCATACAGGTAAATAGGCATCCGTACCGCTTCGCGACCGATCGCAAATTCTTCACTACCAGGGCCCCGAATTAGCCCATTCTCATCTCCGTGAACGACCACCCACCCCCTCAAGCCCTGAATTTGAGTAAAGAGGCCACCAGTTGCCTTCCGGCTACCGCATTCTGACAGCAACAAAGCATACATCTACCGTTTGTCGCCTTTATTGCCCTTCTACCGCGTGTTATCCAAAACCTTTCCCGGATGGCGTTAAATAGATGGTTAGTTCTCACATACCCGTTTTATACGTGGAGGTGGCGTATGAGCAAGATGGTGACGTAGTTGCCGGCCGTTAGAGTGATCGGGTGTCTAGATTTGAATGCCAACGAGGAGTTGCCTAATCTCCCTCCCACGTGTAGCAGCCTTTTAACCAGTATGGGGTTCAGTTTACGCAGAACGCTCCGTTGGATCGCAGTCCTTTTGGGGTTTGTCCGTGCACTCTCTTTCAACGCCGTGGTTTCCAGTGGGAAATACTGCTGTTTTACTAATTTCACGATGTTGTTCTCCGCTCTCATCAGGTCATCCGTCGATAAGGGTCCCACATGCGTCAGGCCGAACCCCGGCCATGATCATCGCCATGTGTTTAAACTTCATTTACCAAGAGACGGAACGAATTATTTTGCTCCATGAGTAGAAGCATTCTATTTTCCTTAACAGGGAGGGAGGTGGCGTGGCGTTCCGCCGTCATTATCACACTCGTGGTTTCGATCAACTCAACGAGTACGGCGGGTGCAGGCACCTATACTCTCGTCCTTTGACACGGCGGTCGGAAGTGT